CTTCCTCCTCACCGTCACCCAGCCAGCCTTCTTTCTTGTTGCTCAGGACTATCTGCTGAGGAAGAGCTAATGGTAGCAAAGCTAGCGTTGCCCGCACTAACTACTATCTATGCCAGAGTCCAGAGTCCAGAGCTGGTTTTCCATTCACTGAGCCTGGCCTCCAGACGTACAATCAGGCAACATTTCTTTCCAGTATCTGTGCTAAACAGAGGAGAAACTAAACATTTGAGGAACTAATGACTCCACTACAAGCTAAGCTAATAGCTACGCCAAAGACACTCATTAGGTCTTTACTGTGGGTGAGTCAGCAGAAAGCGCGCTTTGGATAAACCACATGAAGATTACAGTTTGACATAAGCCTTTATCTGAAGGTATATAATTAAACAAGTCACACATGTTAACAAAACACTACTGTGCACTGTGTTAGGAACAGGAAGTGATACGAGAATGCCAGAAAAAATAAAAACTGGGGGGGTACAGGAAAATAACTGAGTCCTTCCCAGTTCACAGCCAGTAGACCAACACAGGACAAGTCATTATAGTGGGACCACAGGATGTCAGGATGCCAGCTCTGTGTTATTATTCTCCATGACTGGTGTCAGTTCTAGCTGTTCAGTGGGTTTCTGATTTGCCCTCAGACTAAACAACTACACCAGTTTGGGGAAAACAGTTTGTTAGTTTGTTTGTCCCCTGATTATCAGACAGGAGAATAATTATTAAGTTTTTAGATAAAGTTTCTTTTTGACATTGATTGCAATGTGTGATCATAATAGGGTTGATACGCTCCTCATTAGAAGGATACGAGCACTAACCCCACGGTGTGAAGGGTTAACTAAGAGGCACAAACAGAGCTGAGTGTAGCTGCATGCTCACAGAACAGACAGGAAGGGCTGCTTGTATGATAACAGGGCGTTCCAGTGAACAAGAAATAAACACTTAATAGTGTTCCTTTAAGGCGGACATCAGCATGGAAATAAAACATCCCTATCTGTGAGGTAGGGAGTTTTCTCACACAGGACAAGATCCCTGACTGGAGGTTAGTGACCGCTGCCATGAGGAACAAATCAGGGAGTGCTGAGCCTCAACCACGACATCTCCCCATCAATAGGCAATCACAATTATTTCCTGTTTCCATGTGTCTAATATATACTTTGAATTATGAAT